AGCCATGCAGGCAGCTTAAACATTATCGGCTGCATGACACATTCTATATATATACACATATTATATAGACATCTCTCCCACTCCCGCTCCCTCCCTCTTTGTCCCGCCCATTGCATTTTATCGCTGTGCGTCGCGCTGATTAAATATCAACGTAATTTATTATTCAAATTAAGTTTATCGTGGCACAAAGGCGCGCGCAAATGCATTCAGCTTGGCGCTTGCCATCATTTTGGCTTGTTTGTTTTATTGATGGGCGTGGCAGGTTGAGAGGCGCTGCCAGGACAGACAATAAATTTGATACCCACACATACTGCTCTGCGTGTGTGTGTGACACATTACCCCTGCTAAAGCATAAGCAAATTAGCTCACACACACACTTACACACACACACCTCGTCATGCTATCAAAAATGCATTTTCCAATTAGATTTGAAACCTGTTTTTGGTCCAAAAACATTGCATTCGAAATATATTTTGCTATATTTTACCAAATATTTCCCAAATATTTGATGGCAAATAATTTGCATAAATTTTTGGAGCTCGCGCAAATTGTTTAAATTTGCAGCTGAACCATTTACAAATTTATTTATAGCGCCAAAAATAGTTGAAATTTATTTTGAACTTGGCTTCCCACATTTAGTCAAGGTTAAAGTTGTTTACATGCATTGATCTATTAAAATAATATTTGAAAATTCCAGGAAATTATTCTTTGTTAATAACAGAGTGAGCAGGTATGAATGATACTCTTTTCGATAACTTTTAATTAGCCGCTATTTAAGTTATAATAACTGGTAGCTGCTGGAATAATCAATATGATTTGATATTTGATTAAGTCTCAATTTATTGTTAAAATTGTAAATATTTTACGCCTATTTCGATTGAGTTCTTAATTATTATTTTGTACATAAGAAACTGACCAAGCCAGAGCGACACAATTTGCGATAACTCTGTATCGGCATTTTTTAAATTTATCGACAACTTCAAGCTGTTAGAGTATTCATTATGATGTGCCATTTAATACAGAATCAACTTATGGTAAAAGTTTACAATATATAAAGCGGGCGGTTAGACTTGAGCTAGCATTCGTTTAAGATTCTGTTCAAACAAAGGAAGAATAATAATAATAATAAATATATAAAATATATATAAATATATGCAAAGTCATTTGTGTATATATTATACAATGGCATGAATGTGGCTTCAATTTAATATCACTAAAATATTTCAAACAGTTTTGTAACTATTTAAATAGCCAAATTCTTTGCTCTTAGCTGATCAGCCTATGTGAGAAGAACAAATTCATTTTGTTCACACATGTATATATATAAGCTTGCATATATATACATACATATATAGCTAGCTCACTTAGTTCGCTTAAAGATCTCAAACTGACTTCACTTATATAACCCGATTCCAAGCACATTCCTAATGCCAATCCGAACTCTATAAACTCAACTAATTTAATGCTTCGCTAGCTTCAATAAATAATAATAAAGATTTTTATGATTTTGCTAGTTTCATAAGCCGCATAAATTATGAATATATATATATATATATAATATTATAATCCCGAGCTTGCTGGCTCGGCTTATTCATTGGGTAAATAACTTTGTTTAATATTTAATTATAAATTCATAAACTTTTCAGGTCGTGGCCCGCCTTCGTCACATGACCACGCCCACTTTTTTATTGTGCGCTCGTTTTGTGGCGCGCACAAAAGAGTTTAGTTTTCTGTGTGTCGCCTGTTCAGGTGAGCTTTGATGGCTGTTCAGTGGTGTGTGTGCAGCGAGCAGGTGGGCAAACAACAGTTTGATGGACATTTCACTCGCTGTGCCTGATTTGTTGTCGACGCCCGCTCAATAATTTTGTCAATAATTTTTGTCACGATTTGGCCACACACACAAAAGGCAAAAAGTAACGCCCATTGTATTTATGCTCGTTCGTGAAAAGTAAAGAGAGTATATTGGCTTTCCATTGGTGTTCATAGCTTTGTTTTGTATGAATGCTGGAGAGTTGACATTGAAAATAGATGTTCCTATTGAATCTCATTCGATATAGATTTTTGGTATATTCTGACTAGGGGCGTGGCAATTCAGGTTTTACTACAGCATGCATCTATATTACTTGCAATGTGGCTTAGCAAATCCGAAAACTATCAAATTAAATATCATTCAATTTACTTACTTACAGCTCGTAGGCGAGCATTAGGCAGTCATTGGCCACTCAGCTCTTACTTGTTTTTTCTTTTTTCTGGCTCTGCTGCCACAAATCGAGTCATCAATGTGGCTGTCGCTTCGAGGACATAAGTTGGCTCTTTTTATTCTACATAATTTTCCCAATTTTCCCCCATTTTTTTTCTTTTGCTGTCCTTGCCTTCGGGCACATTAAACTCATTGTGTTTATGGCATAAATTTGCATGTTTTCCACGTAAATTTTTCAATTTGTATAGGCGAGCGCTCATTGTCGAAACGTGCACCAAAAAAATAGGAGACCTTTACAGGTTGGCCTGCTCTGCCCTCCATACAGTTCATACAGTTGAGTGTATTAATGATCTAGGCGTAGGCTAAGGTTTTTGGGCAAAAAACTGGTTAAGAGATCTTTTGTTATGCATATAAAACATAGTGTGGTTCAAAGATTTAAATTTAATTTCAATTAATTTAAAAAAATAGGCCTGTTCCCTTCGTCCTTTGTAATCTAAATGACCCTGTCCGAAGAGATGAAGTAGCCATCTCGCTCTCACTCAGTAACATCAACAATAAAGTTTATCAACAGCTACCTTTGTCTGTCTCTCTCCCTCTAGTCATGCGAAGCGTGTGACTTACTCGGATAATGTTTTACTCTCAGCCTCTCACTAATACGACTACAACAGCAGTGGCCAATCACGACACAATTGAGCAGAATTAACGTAATAATATCTGAGCGATACGACATATGTATGGATGTGCATAACTAACCTTTTTTCAGATTAAGCCCTCTTTTTATCTTATCTTATCTTTTAGTGGTTTTTCTTTTGCTCTAATATTTCTTATCATAAACACATAAAACTCTCTATTCATAATTATATTTCAGATTTAGTCAAATATGTTGAGTATTTTCTCATTTATTACGTATTCGTGACCAACAATGCCTCTGTTTATGTCGTATATGCCTTTTTATTTATATTTATCGCTTGGGCTCGAAATATCAACTGCCACACACACACAGAAATACACATACACGAAATTTGCAGTTCTTTTTATTTGGTTAACAATGTGCCTTGGCTAAGCTTTAGTTTTATTGCCATATGAGTAGGTTGGCGCACGTGTGTATATATATGTATGTGTGTGTGTGTGTGTGTGTTGTGTGTGTATATAAGTGTCAAAGGCATGTGTTTAGCATGCCTCATTTGAGCGCAAATACACCTGCAGCCATCAATTATGCAAAGAGCAGCTATGAAGCTACGGCCAGAGCTGGGCAGGACTCGGTCTATGGGCTGTGGCTTTTAGTTCAACTGGCATCCTGGCACCTGGCAAACAGCAGGAGGCGCCGTCAACGCCATCGTCAATGCTGGCTACGCCCAGCACATTTTGCACTGCCTCGCAGGCCTCTCTTCAGTTATGCGAGTCATTCAGTTAGCCATGGGGAGCTGGCCAAATTAATTTATTGGCCTTCTCACATACAACGCCAAATAAGTGCAGTTTGCATAATCATGGCAACATACACACTCACACTCACACTGGCAGAGCTTATAAAATATTTATTCAAACTGCAAGTTGGCTGGCAACACTTGCAATTGAGCTGCAGCCATAGACCTAGCCAAGCCTCAGCTGTCTGAATATTTGGTCCGTTCATTTTGTTTACTCACTCTAACAAATATATCATAATAAGCAACGGCAAAGAGAACTAGTTAGACTGGGTCACGTAAGGGGGGAGAAGGGAACAACTGTATTCATCATTTGTGACCTACGTAACTGGGTAAGTCAGGCAAAATAATATTAATTTTGATCAATATTGTGCATTAGAAATTTGTATTTAGCAATATTACATTCACAATACATATATTTCTGCAATACATATAAAGACATACAATATTGTAAATTAAAGTAAAATACAGATACACAAAGCTCCTCTTAATTTGCATTTGCATTCAAGGAATATCTTAAGCCAGTATTTTGTAATGTGTGCAAGCGAGATGGCACGATCTGCGCCAAGCAATGTTTCAATGTGAGGCCAAGTCGGTGCTAAGTACAATAGTCAATAAAATGGCGGAGAGGTTGCGGGAGTTTGTGTTTGGGAGAAAGAGATGACCAAAATGAAAAATAAAATGGTGTCGAATATAAATAAAAACTTTTAGGTTTGAATGTGAGCGCAAGTGAGCTGCGATAGCAGGAGTTTGTGCTGAGCAGAAAGAGAACGCGTTTCGAAAAGCATATATAAAATGGTGCCGATCAAAGAGAACGGTTTGAGGCTTGAGCGTGAACACAAGTGTGTTAATTATATGAGCCAATCAAAAGGCGTTGCTAGCGGTGGGTGAGATGATAAAGAGATATAATGTAGCCGATGACAAAAATCAGCTCAGTTTCGAGCAAGATCGAGTTCAGAATTACGTAACTTTTATTCAAAAAGTTTAAAATAAAAAATCGGTTGAATGAAACTTATGTGTGGCTTTTGACACGAAATTCGATTTTAAACTGTTTACAATATGAGGTCTGTATATACTCAAATTAATAGACAAATTACTTGAAAGACCTTACAAAATAATTGTAGGATAATGAAACTCTTTTAACGGGCTATTTAATAACTACTTATTAATTACAATCACGAAGAACGCCCACTGCGAAGCGTTGTCTAATTGCATGTTAAAATAATATTTTTTCTTTGGCTTTGGGGGAAAAGTTAGTGAACTGTTAGCAAGGACAACGCCCAGCTCATCAATTATGGGCACATCGATTGGGCAGAATATAAAAGCAAAGGATTGAAGCTCATGGCATAACAGAGTCGATAGTTAGCCGCCTTGAGAAGATGTTTAGCTTCTTGAAACGTTCGTATCCTGTGGAACGGCATTATTTTCTGATTCCGCAAATGGCAATGAGCGCAATTGGCTTCAATCCGGAGCAGGAGAGAACCTGGCCGGTGCGGGCTTGGAGTTTCTTCAATTTCTTCGTACTCACCTATGGCTGCTATGCGGAGGCGGCATATGGCATAAAACAGATACCAATTAATATTGCTCTAGCCTTGGACGCTCTCTGTCCGGTTGCATCGAGCATTTTATCGTGGCTCAAAATGATGGCCATTTGGTATTATCGCGACGAGCTCAAGTGGCTAATACAGCGGATACGAAAGCTAACGGAGCAGCAGCAATCGGAGCGAAAGCTGGAGTACAAGCGAAACTTATATACACTGGCAACGCAGCTGTCGTTTTTACTCTTTGTCTTTGGCATCGGCACCAGCACCTCGTACTCGATTCGCCACCTGCTGGATAATATGCTGAGGCTATCACATGGCAAGGACTGGACCTATGAGACGCCGTTCAAAATGATGTGAGTGCAGTGCAAGTTTCCAAAAAGTTGCCATAGCTTCAATATTTTCCTTATCGATACTCAATCATTCTCATTCTCTATTATCAGCTTTCCTGACCCGCTGCTGAGTCTGCCGCTCTACCCGTTCATCTACGCGCTAGTCCATTGGCACGGCTACATTACTGTTGCTTGTTTCGTGGCCGCCGATGGTTTATTTGTGAGCTTCTGTCTATATCTAACTGTGCTGCTCTATTCGCTGCGTGACGATGTTTTCTATTTACTGGAAGTGAAGGACAACAAACAGGAAGCGACGGCGGGGGAGGATGAGCGCATTGTGCGTCAGCTGGAACGCCTGATAGATCGTCATAATGAGATTGCCGCACTGACAGATCGGTTGTCTGGTGTCCTGGTTGAGATAACGCTGGGTCACTTTGTCACCTCCAGCTTGATTATAGGTAGCAGCATGATTGACATGTTGCTGGTGAGTTAACTAAGTAGCAAAGCTGACGATATCTTAGAAATCTTCTTCTCTGTCTTGATCAGTTCTCCGGTGTTGGCGTTATAGTCTACTTAGTCTACACCAGCGCTGTGCTAACGGAAATTTTGTTATACTGCCTGGGCGGCACTTACATAACCGAGGCGGTGCGTATTCCCGACTATTTTCTATAGTATATTCACGGCTATAGTCATAGAATGAAATGATATAGCAATTAGAAACATAGAAAATTCCAGCTTAATGTACAAATTCTTCCCTAGTGCCTAGATCTATCGAAAAGTACCTTCTCCAGCCACTGGTACTGTCACAGCGTTCGTGTGCAAAAGATGACACTGCTAATGATAACGAGAGCTCAACGTGTTTTGATAATCAAGGTGCCATTCTTTTCGCCTTCACTACAGGCGCTCACTTCGGTATGTGGAGCATTGAGTTTTATATAGCTATTAGCTTATTAATTTTGTATATTTTCTTATTCAACAGATTTTGCGCTTCACGGGTTCGCTTATTGCCTTGGCAATGTCGGTTTTATAAATGCTGTTGTTGAATATAAATTACTATTGAATGATATTTAAAAATAAAACAAACTTATTTTTTGTTCACAGTTTCTGTTCCTTATTCTGTTCAATTTTATCGTGATTGGCTGTTGCTGCTGCAGTAGTATTAGTGAGAGGCTGAGAGCTTAGTAGTTGTAAAATTTATTATCCGAGTGAGTTTGCGTTTTAGTTACGCGCTTCTCACGCCTAGAGAGAGAGGGACAAATATAGCTGTTGAAGAATGTTGGTGAGTAAGAGTGAAACGGGTACAAAGGCTCTTCGCACTGGGTCGTTATGATTGCAATGGGTGAAAATTTTTGTGATATGGGTGATGTATTTTTGTCTTTCATTCTAATATCACTTTTAAAGATCTGTAAAGCATATTAATAATACATATTCAACATATCTGTTTGCCTCCTATATGCACCCCTTTTTGTAATTTCATATTTTGTTTGTCTTTGTGATATCTTTTCATTGAACCTTTTTGATTTTTGTTTTGTTTTTTCATTTACTGTTCGCTGTTCATTTCTGACATTTCGTTAATTGCACTTGCACAATCTTCTCTGTTTATCTCTGTTGTGCTTTGGTCTGCTCTTCATTTGCTGCTTCTCATTTTCCTTTGTTTATTTTCGCGCTGTTTTCATTGACCTTCCTGTTTGTTGTTCCCTTTGTAGTTGTTGTTTTTGTTGTTGCGGGGTAAAAGTCTCTGCTCTCAGTGCTTAACAGCTCTGGCAAATTGGTTTCTTTTACCCGGAACTCATCATCAACATGCCGCCTGACACGTTGCAACCAGTAAAAATCCATCTGTGCCTTCGTTTCCTTTGCTCGAACTTGCCCCACTTGCCCCTTTTCACTTTTATACGCATCGAACTGTGCATTTGTGCTGCATACTTTTGAGCTGCATCTGCAACTGCTGCCGCTGCCACTGCTGCATCTGCATCTGCATCTGCATCAACTTCCGCCTGCAGAAGTTCATTTTCATGCACACTCGCACACTCACTCACACTCACACGCGCACCCGCACACTCACACGCACACCTTAATGACATCCGTTTGAAACCGGCGCTTGTTTGTCCCTCTTCATATATGTGCGTGAGGCTGTGTTTGGCACTTGTTATACTCTGTTCACAAGGCGTTTAAGGTGCATATGAAAACTGACTGATAAACTATATATAAATATGTATATAGAAAGCTAATATATATAATGGCATAATTGTCTATTCCTATCTTTGTGTTTACTATTCTTTAAATGCTGATTCAACTATCTGCCTAGGCCACATTTGTGCTTTGTGAGTATGTGAAATGCTCTATATTACATAGTGAATAGTCGATAGCAGAATATCGATTGCCGGTAGTCGATTGCTCATACCTATAGCTCATATCTATGGAAATCTATAGTCCATAGTTGATAGTGGCATAGTTAACTGGCAATCCAAAGCAATTAGCTCTTAGACATAAGCAGATAGACCGTAGATAGCCTGAGCTGATAGCCTACAGGATATAGCTCTACATCGATGGTCCACATCCGGTAGCCTATAGACTACAGCCGATGTTCAGTTGTGCATAGCTCATTGCTGAACTGATAGCTTTGGCCAGGCCAAAGTCGATATCTGATAGCTGATAACCGATAAACGATCCAAATAGTTTGTACCTGAAAACCTACTTAAAACTATAACAAGATGTTCATAGTACAAAGCTGATAGTCCCTAGTCGAGTACTCATAGTCCCTTGTCTGCCGTTGCTAGCCGACATAGCAATATGTCAAACTAAGTTTGTTGAGTTTTGGTTTAGCATGAATACCATTGATAGGAAATTTCTATATATGAGACATTCTTTCGATTGAAGCTCTCAATCGACTGCAAGTCTGCTTAAGCAACTAGTAGATTCCTGAGTTCTACTCGACTGAAGGCAACTCAAGTTACGAAGTGCTGGATTTCTTCTCAAACGTCTCACAAGAGCATTGCTCAGTCGTTGATGGCCCAACTGTTTGTTGTTATTGTTCACCTTCTGCGAAAGTCGAGCTCCTCTTAACTGAGCTCTTTTCGTCTTCTTCTTTATTTTTCGGGCATTATTCATGCACAAATTCTTTTGCTTAATGTTGTAGTCCTTGAAAGCCTTTAGCCCACACGCATCATGAGAGCGCGCGCGCCTATCTGCCACGCAATCTCTGGTGCTCTCTGCCCCGCTTTCCCCCGCCTCCCCCTCTCTGTGCCCTTTTGGCTGTCTTTATCATTTGTCTGTCTTTGTTTCGTTTGCCATTTGTTTGTTTATTTTCGCTGGCGCCTCCTTTTGTCAAAAGTGTTTTTGCTTGTAATGTGTTCGACATTGGACCGCAAGCAGCTCTTGCCACGCCCCCAAAGCCTCCTCCTGCTCAACATAATTCCTCTTGGCCCACTTGCTGCTGCTGTTGCTGCTACTGTTGCAGCCCTTTAGTGTTCAGTTTCTGTTTCTGTTCATTTTCCTTCCTTCTGTTGTTTGTTATTTTTATTTTTATTTATACCCTGTAACTATTGCCAAAATGGGCGTACTGTTGTTGGGCTAACCATGTATAGTGAATGCTAGATTGATAGATGATAACATTTAGATGTATGTGATTTTTTTTTTTGCTCAATTTATTTATATCTCATATTTTTTATTATAATATTTTTTTATTATTTATACTTATTCTTATGTTATTTTTGATTTGGTAATTAATACTTAGTATCTACTCTTCGCTCCCATTCGACTAGATCCCTTTTAGCTTGTTCCGTTTCATTCACTCGCCATTCACTCTCTCCTTCTCTCTCCCACTCACTCACTCACTAACTCACTCACTCGTCTCGTCTCGTTTCGTCTCGCCTCTTGGAATGCTTTACATTTTTGTATGTGCATTTATTTTGCCATTTCGTATGCTAGTGCTGATATGTGTTTGTGTGTGTAGGTATGTGTGTTTGGTTGCTGAACTTTCACATACACACGCACACAGTCGCTCCATACGCAATTTTTTGCACTCAAGTTTACCTACTTTTTATGGTAAACATACCAAGGTTGCTTGTTTATTCTAGCAAAAGTGTATTTAGGTGCGCTTAACTATGTGTGTGTGCGTAAGTGTGTGTGTGTGTGAGCTTCTCAATGGGTTAGGGTTAGCTTAACCTCTGGTCCTTAGTGCGAAAGCATTAAATCGTCAAATAGAATGCTTAAATAACTTAAATAAATACTCCAATCGCCCGCTTCATGTTTGCATTCAGTTTGAAATCAATTGAAAATCGAGCGAAAATTTCGAAAATTTAAAAGGAAAAGGAAATCCAAGCACAATTTGTTGCCAACGCACATTCACATGCATATGAATTGTTAGGTAATTCCTCTAAGGATGCACACATACACACAAACATACACAGACGTGTGCTTAATTAAATGTTACAACAGAAAATAAAAATTAAATCAAACAGCTTTAAAAAGTAACGAGATGAAAGATAGAGAGAGAGATAGAGAGATGTGAAAGTAGCTTATTGAACTCTATGAATATCCTGTAAATAAAGTTAAGTTACGAATGAGTAATTTTACTAGTAAGCATTTAAAATTGAATAACTTTTATTTATAAAAATTATATAATATAATCAGAATACGCAGGCAACATATTCAAATATTTTTCAACTCATTTTAAAACATGTTCTGAAATGCCAAAAGCATGAGAATATAAAGTTTTCGTAGTCAAAAATTTAATTAAGTTGGCTGTTCCTAAAGTTAAGACTTTGTCTATTTCTCATCAATATTCGTCTTACTTTAATATTGACATAAAATAAAATGCTTAGCAATTAAAAGTTTTCAATTAATTAGAGTAAAGTGACTTAATTAACTATCGTTAACCTTAATTAATCAAGCAAATTGACCTATTTTCATTGTCAGCTATAAAAGTTTTGAGTTTCTGTGCCTCAAAGAGTTTCGCAATAAATAATATTAAAAACTTTATGCGAGCTATAAAAATGCAAAAACAGCAAAAGTTGTTGACTATAAAAATCACAGAGCATAAGCGAGCTTACGATACTTGGCATGGCATTACGTGCCGTTACGTAATGTGACGTAAAGTGCGGGTGCAAGAAAAAAATAAATTTCAATGTAATTTTTGCTGCACGACTAATTAAATTTGCGCATTTTATGAGCATGTGTGGGAGAGTGGAAGAACAAGCGAGAGAGAGAGGGGCGAAGGTGTAGAAATGTGAAAAAACGTTAAAGAAATTAATAAAAACAAACACGAGCAGCTGTAAAACGTCGAATGAAACGCAGCGAAGTCAAAGCGAAACGAAAGGCGACGTGTGGAATGAAACGCATGGAATTGAAACGCGACAGCATGAGTGAAATTTTAAGCAGACAGCAAAAGGAAAAAAACAACAATTTGGCACAATTTGTTGTTGTTGTTGAAAGCGAAAGACACGTGCGTGCGGCAACCGCGAAGGCAGAGAGAGAGAGAGGGGGCGAGAGGGAGGGAGAGAGAGCAGTGAGAGGTGTTGGCTGGGGCAAACGATCCATTAAAATTCTGTTGAGGCCATTGCAAAATAAATCCACTTGCAAGTGCTGCAAAAAAATAACATGAAAAAAAAACAAAAAGGAAACAAAAACTCTAAAAAAAAGACGTGAAAAAACTCTTCAACGTCAGCATTTTGGCATCAAATGCCAATCGCATGTGATTCCTAGTTACCAACAGACCTCTCCCTCTTTGTGATATGCGAAATGGCAAACGAATGTATTTTCGGCAATTTTCTACGTTCCCTTTGTTGTTGTTGTTCGCTCTGTGATGTTGAGCCTAAAAGTATGCATTGAAATTCAACACGCAGCGTGGGAGCATGAGATTGTCAGCTGGAGGGTGTCTGCAAGTGTGTCTCTCTGTCTGCCCGCCGCTGCGTGTCTGCCTAGGTGTGAGCTCTAAGAGCCGCTTAAAATTAGCGTAAGATCTTTGACTGTTTAAAGCGATACACGCATTGCGCTTGAGCGTGTCAAATAAATTTGCTTTGCAAGCAATGA